ATCTTTATATAAAAAAGATTACTACCTCATTTAAATCCTAACACGAAAATTCACAACCTGATTGACAGATCCTAATGCTTGAACAAAGGGAATGTTGGCACCATCATAACTGGTTTCCAGAGGAAAATATGGGTGCCTTTCCTTTTCTCTGGTGTTGGAGTATTTATTATTGTCATGGATTTGACAGCACACGGAAATCAAAGTTTTCTTTAGAAGTCCATTCTTCAGGAAAGAGCTTACATGACTGTTAAGCAAATAATAATACTTTCAATTTGTACAGCATTTTACAGTTTCCAAAGACCTTCACCCACCTCAGCTTATTTGACCATCACAAAAATCCTGTGAGATAAGAAAGTTGGTGCTATTTCCATTCGTAAAGGTTACCGAGGTTCAAATAACTTCAGTAACATTCCCAAGACCACATGGCCAACAAAGAAGTGGCAAAGGTTACATTAGAATTCCTTTGCTCCCTTGAAAGCTTATCTCTTCACTTACATTCTGTTATAGTAAATAGTGCCACGTAAACTGTCCTTCCAGCCAGAAGCCTGACAGTCACCTGTTCTCAAACATTCTGCCTCTAGATATTTGTGTGATTTGATCTTCACTGCATTCAGATTTCTGCTCAAATGTTGTCTCTTCAGAGCAGTCTCTCCTGACCATCCTATCAAATATGCTGCCTCCCCTCACTGTCTGTCCTCTCACTTCAATTTGTACTATTTATTTAATTGCTGATTCTTGGTTTCTTTCACTAGAAGAGGAGCTCCATGGGAGCTTTTAGTCTCTTTTGCTACCATTATATTATATCACTACTTGGAACCGTTTTGGTCCAAAATAGGTATGCAATAAATATGTTGAGGATAAAAAATGAAACAGATTCCTCTGTCTCCTTTATTCTTCTCATCCAGAAGGCCACCAATTCTTGTACGTTATGCAAGAATATCTGTTCTCTCTCTCTCCCTACTTCCACTGGTTAAGCCCAAATGCTGCTCATTTCTCTTCTAAAGTAGTATTGTCATATCTTCCTCAGTTGGTCTCCCTTCTTTGAGCTTACCCTTCCCTAGTCCATTCTCCATCCTGCCGTTAGGGTGATCTGTCAAAAACACATATTTTTTCACTCTTTGTTTAAAGCATTCAATGGCTTCCTGTAGCTTTCAAGTTAAAATTCCAACTCTTTGGCATGGTAGGCAGGTCTTTTCATGTTTGGATTATCTAGGCTCATCTCTGCCAACTCTTCTCTCACTCAGTTCTCCAATTATATTGAACCATTTGCGAGTTTGAGAACTCACCATCTTCTTTTTCTCTTCTATATCTCCGTGAACACCACTTCTGTACTGTGTCTGTTTATCTGCTCTGCTACCTCTCAGTTGTTTTGCCTAATTTTTACCAGTTCTTCAAAACTCAGCATTTGTGACATCTTTAGGAAGCCTTCCTCAATTCCCCCCACCCCTGCAATCCTATCCTAAGATGTTCTAAGCACTCTCTTCATACCCCTCTCTTACATCTGTATCATGGCAGTTATCACCCCCTGTGGGAATTCATTCATTTTCTCCTTCATTACACATGAGGGCGAGAACCTAGTCTTACTCATCTTTAAATTCCTAGTACCTAGCACAGTGTCTTAAACATGGTAACTCATCAATAAGTATTTGCTAAATAAATATATATTCAGACATCCACTGTAGACTTTCTTCTGGAATCATCTTTGCAGTTTTGTCCACATAATAATCAGAAAGAGAATGTTGGATATATTAGTAATCCTCACCAATCTCAGTGTCTTATAAAGACACATCTTTCAACATAATTAAAATGCCATAAATAAAGATTGAGGCGTGTGATATGGTTTGGCTGTGTCGCCACCCAAATCTCATCTTGAATTGTAGCTCCCATAATCCCCGCATGTCATGGGATGGACCCTGTGGGAGATAATTGAATCATGGGGGCGGTTACCCCCATGCTGTTCATGGGACAGTGAGTGAGACCTCGTGAGACATGATGGTTTTATAAGGGGCTTTTCGCCTGCTTTGCTCATTCTTCTCCTTCCTGCCACCATGTGAAGTTGGATGTGTTTGTTGTCACCACCCCCCCACCATGATTGTAAGTTTTCTGAGCCCTCTGCAGTCCTGCAGAACTGTGAGTCAATTAAACCTCTCTACTTTATAAATTACCCAGTCTTGGGTATGTCCTTATAGCAGCAGGAGAATGGACTAATACCGCATGAAAAGGGTATTTAATCCATCTTTGAAAAAAGGTGCTGGAGAACGGTCAGGAAAATTCCCTAAAGTAGGTACCACCTGATCCTTAAAGATTCCTGGAGGTTGGGGAACAGAAAGAAGAGGAAGAATGGGGAGGGTATTTCAGGCTCAAAATGTGTACCAACTCCCAGCATGGGGGTTTGAAGGAAGCAGCAAGCAGTTCAGATATACAGGAAGCTAAGTACAAGGCAGTGAAGGGCACTGAAGGGGATGAGGTGAGGGGCATGAGGGCAACCAGATCATCAAGTGCTGTGGGGAGGGGACAGAGAATTGTGAAAAGTATTGAGATGTTTGGATGTCATCTTCAGGAGAATACTCTGGAAGATTAATGAACAATAGTTTTGACAGGGACAATACTGAGACAAGAGGGCAGTTGGAGACAAGGGCCCGGAGAGTGAAAGGAATAGACATAAAGAAGATAGGACAGATTTCATGAGTGGTTATGAGGCAATATAGACAAATTTGGTGATTATTGGTTTGTGGGGATCAAGGAAGAGGAAAGACTCATGTGAGGTTGACAGGTTTCCAGCTGGAATGATGGATAGATCATAGTGCCACCAAGCAAAATACAAAATACTATAGAAGGTATAATTTTAGAGTGGGGGAAGTTAAGCTCAGATATGATCATATGAGTCTGAAGGACTATGAGATATCCAAGTGAAACTGTTGAGCAAGAATAAGTCCCAAATTCAAGATAGCTTGGGTTTCATCAGTACATAGGTATCAGTGTATTGAAGAATACAAATATCATCCAAGAAGAGGACGGAACATAAGAAGAAAAGTTGGCTAAAGACAGGATGATAGAGAATGCCACTATTAAGAAAAGGCGTGAAAAGAAGAATCACAAGAAAAAGAACCGACAGTAAATCAGACATTCTTAGTCACAGGATGAGATAGGAGGTCAGCACAACATACAGGTCCCAAAGACCTTGCTCATAAAACAGTTGCAGTAAAGAAGCCAGCCAAAACCCACCAAAATCAAGATGGCAATACAAGTGATCTCTGGTCATCTTCACTGCTCGTTATACGCTAATTATAATGTAGTAGCAGGCTAAGAGACACTCCCACCAGCACCATGACAGTTCGCAACGCCAGGACAACGTGAGGAAGTTACCCTATACGGTCTAAAAAAGGGAGAAGCCCTCAGTTCCAGGAATTGCCCACCCCTTTCCCAGAAAACTCAGGAATAATCCACCCTTGTGTAGCACATAATCAAGGAGTAACTATAAGTGTATTCAGTCAAGCGGCCCATGTTGCTGCTTGGTCTATGGAGTAGCCATTCTTTTATTCCTTTACTTTCTTAATAAACTTGCTTTCATCTTACTCTGTGGACTCGCCCCAAATTTTTCCTTGCATGAGGTCCAAGAGAATTTTCTTGGGATCCTTTTCCAATAACAAAGATATCTGAGGCTTCAGTGAGGTCATTGAGTAGCTGTAGTGGGAGTTAGAGTGTTCAAGAGCTGATAAGAAAAAGAGGAGGTCAGGGAGACACTTTCTCTGAAGAGAACTTTTTCTGAAAAAAAAATTCCAAATTCCAGGTGCTGTAAGTTAGGGTCTATCAATCTTATTCAGACTTGTGCTTTTTTTTTTTTTTTTTTTTTTTTTGATACAGGGTCTCATTCCATTCCTCAGGCTGGAGTGCATTCGTGTGATCATCATTCACTTCAGCCTTGACTTCCCAGGCTAAAATGATCCTCCCATCTCAGCCTCCCAAGTAGCTGTGACCACAGGCGCATGCCACCACACCTGGCTAATTTTTCAATTATTTGTAGTGACAGGATCTCCCTATGCTGCCCAGGCTGGTCATGAACTCCAGGGCTCAAGTGATTCTCCCACCTTGGCCTCCCAAAGTGCTGGGATTACAGGCATGGGCCATCGTGCCTGGTCTCAGACCTTGATTTCTATTTTGTAATCTTAAATATGGCTTAAATATATTTGTCATGGCTTAAATATACTGGTATTGTCCATAGTGCTTAATTCACAGTGACGTAAAAAGTATTTGTTGGATAACAGGTATATTTCTGAACTAAAAGCTATGTATGACCTGGGTAAGTTTCTGGCTGCTATAAGGGGCAATTAGATGCACCAGTGTAAAGACACTCTTTAAGAAGGTAGAAATAAGCCACTTTATCCCTCCCAGTGCAGACTCGATATGATTATTGTGGCTGCTATCACATTTCTTGTTAATGAAGTTTCTGCCAAGGTTATTTTTATAGTCCTCTAAATAAGATTTCTTGTTCTTATCTCTTTGAGCTTGCTGGGGACTATCATGTATCACTCCCTTTTCTTAACTTCAACTATGCCTATAATTCTAAACCATTCAACTGGTCTTTCACATATCCTGCTTTGCACTGATAATTATCATCCCATGCAATGGTGTGCTGGTAAATACGTAACATTCAGCTGGAGCCAGGGAAAGCAGGATTGGTAGATTGATTTTTAGAGTTTGCTGTTGTCCATGCTATAAATATGGTAGCATGGCTGATTTCAGATTACCAGTGTGACATCTCTGAACATGGAGTTAGTAAAAAACATATAGTTGTACACCATTGTACTGTGTAGTATTTTCTGAGGATATTTAAAAAAAAACCTCAAGAACACAGACAATGGTAAATTGTAATAAATAAAACAGAAGTGATGTATTTTGAGTATGTATTGCCTTTGTTTTTAATATAATTGAATTACTAGCTTATATAATTCAATTTTGAATGATGATAGTGATTGTTTGTTTGCTTGTTTTTGGCTTAGGTTTGACGTCCCAAGATGACAATGTTTAACAACGGGATTGCCTAATTCCTGAAATTTTAACAATCAACTCTCATAAGCTGATGCGAATGGCTCCAACATACCACTTACTTTATGTCTGTATTTTTTATCTTACCACTTAAATTCTAAGCATGTAGAGGCAGGGGTCATGGCTTAAATATATTTGTATTGTCCATAGTGCTTAACACATAGTGACTTACTAAATATTTGTTGGATAACGGATATATTTCTGTACTGAAAGCTATATATGGCCTGTGTAAGTTTATGGTTGCTACATTAGTTGCTATAATTATCCTGGTAAATGTGCTGCAAATATTTGCCCTGGTAAAATCGAGGCTATAGATGCGTGTATCTTGGAAATAAACATGTTTTCTCTGGATGTTGAAGTTGAATATATCTTCTATAGGACTCCAAGGGCATATTAATTTGCATATGTTTTCACATTGTTTCTTTATGGTTATGAATGTATCCTGAATTGCCAGCAGAGTATACAATCAAATTGGATATAAACTTGCATCTATTTCTTAATTAAATATTTCAGAAATGCACTCCTTTAAAATGCAAGAGTATAATCAATAGCAGTTAATTATATTACAAAAACTAAATGAAACTATGCAATTAATTATGCCATATAAATGATATTTGTGGACTCCAATCTGGTGTCAAGAAATGAAATTGTTTTTAATGTGCTGTGAAGGGTTTTTAATTTGTCTCTCAGGCAATATGTTATACCAAAATAAATATTCGTCCTTTCTAAATGAGTGAAAAAAATCTCTCTCATGAAGCCTACAATTCTCAAGAAAATCACATCTTAGAAGAAATTATATCTTAGAGATGTGATATTCTGTTCTTCCATTACATTTCTAATTCTGTTATTTCATTGCTTAAATTAAAAACATCAGAATTTAAAGGAATTCTAGCTCTGTATATGCAGAGGCTATTTTTTGTGTCTCTTTTTTTGTGTGTGTGAATTTCATTTAAACAGCTCAAGAGTACCTAAAGGACATCATGCATTTTGTTAGGGGGACAGGCTACTCACCATTTTTCCTAATACTACTTTTAGTTGTACCCTAAATGTAAAGGTGGGGAAAGAGACCAAGTTCTGTAGCAAACATTCAATCTCATTTCAACTCCCCCATTTCTTAGATTAAAAGGCTGAAATTCAGAAAAACTTAGGGTCTTGAAAATAAATTTCAAGAATGGAATTAAACCACCAGAGAAGGGTTATATGTTTTAACCAATCGTTTTTTTAGAGGTTTATGCTCATTTTTAAAGCAAAATCTGAATAACATGACTGTTGTTGTTGCTTGTCGCAACAAGTCAGATTCTTGTTTGTAACTCAGCACATTTTAAAAATAGATTTTATTTTTTAGAACAGTTTTAGATTCACAGCAGAACTGAGGGGAAGGCACAGAGGTTTCCCATATACTCTCTGTCCTCCACACATGAACAGTCTTGAAGCCAGGAGTTTGAGACCAGCCTGCATAACGTAGTAAGATCTCATTTAGCTGAGCATGGTGACATGTGCCTGTCATACTAGCTAGTTGGGAGACCAAGACAGTTTATCAGGTATCAGTCTTTGTCTCTAGGATCACTTGAGCCTAGGAATTGAAGGCTGCAGAGAGCTATGATCATATGATCACACTCCAGCCTGAGCAATAAAGTGAGACCCCGTCTCTAAAAAGTAATAATAATAATAACAATAATAATAATAATAGAGTGAGTTAGAAAGTATTACCTCTGTTTCCATCCTCTGAAAAAGATTGTAGACCATTGGTTTTGTTTCTTTGTTAAAAGTTTGATAGAATTCACCAGTGAACCCATCTGAGCCTGGTGCTTTCTCTTTTGGAAGGATATTAATTATTGATTCAATTTCTTTAATAGATACAGGCCTTTTCAGATTGTCTATTTCTTCATGTGTGAATTTGGTGTATTATAACTTTCATGGAATTGGTCCATTTCATCTACATTATCAACTTTGTAGGCATACAATTGTTCATAATCCTTTATTGTCCTTTTAATGTCCCTGAGATCTGTAGTTACATTCCCTCTTTTATTTCTGGCATTAGTGATTTGTGCCTTTTCTCTTTTTTTCTTTGTTAACCTGGCTAGGGGCTTATCAATTGTAGTGATCTTTTCAAAGAACTAGCATTTAGTTTCATTGATTTTTCTCTACTGATTATTTTTAAAATTTTTATTGATTTCTGATCTATTTATTATTTTTTTTTCTGCTTACTTTGGGTTTTTAAATTTTATTTTATTTTACTTTTTTTCTTATCTTTCCCAATGAACGTTGAATTTAATTTCCTCTTTTTTTAGTTTCTTAAGGTGGAAGCCTAGATGATTAATATTATATCTTTCTTATTTCTAATACATGCATTCAATGCTATAAACTTCCCTCTAAATACTACTTTCACTATATTCTACAAATTTTGCTGTTGCATTTTCATTTTAATGTAGCTAAAAGATAAAAATAACAAAAATAAAAATTTTCATTTTACCTTTACTTTTTCTTCCTCTGATGCTGTTCTTTTCTATACATAGTTGCAAGTTTCTGACTTACAGTTCTTCCTTCTCTCTGAAGAACTTCTTTTAACCTTGAAAGGCAGGTCTACTGGCCGCATATTTCCTCAATTGCTGTTTGTCTGAGAACGTTTTATTGCTCCTTCACTTTTAAGGGATAATTTCACAATATACAGAATTCTAGACTGGTAGGTCTTTTAATACTTTAAATATTCACTCCATTCTCTTCTTGCTTATGATTTCCAAGGAAAAATCACATGTAATTCTTATCTTTGCTTTTCTACAGGTAAGTTGCTTTTTCCCCTCTGGCTTGTTTCAAAGTTTTATTCTTTATGTTTATTTTTCTGCTATTTGAATATGATATGCCTAGGTCTAGTTATTTCTTGGCATTTATCCTTCTTGGTGTTTTCTGACGTTGCTGGATCTGGGGTTTGTTGTCTCATTTTAATTTGTGGACATTCTTAGTCACGACTTCAAATATTCCTTTTTTTCTTTCTCCCTTTCTTCTTCTGTTATTCTCATCACACATATGTTATACCTTTCACAGTTGTTCACAGTTTTTGGATATCCTGTTTTGTTTTTTTCAGTTTTTCTCCTCTTTGCTTTCTGTTTTTGAAGCTTCTATAAATTCTTCCCTCAGCTATGTCCAGTCTACTAATGAGCCCATCAAAGGCGTTATTCATTTGTTAGTATTTTTGATCTATAGTACTTTTTTTATTCTTAGAATTTTCATCTCTCTGTTTACAATGCCCATCTGTTGTTTTATGCTGTCTGTTTTATCTGTTAGAGCCTTTAGCTTGTTAATTATAGTTGTTTCACATTCTCATTCTGATAATTCCAACCTCCCTGCCACGTCTGAATCTGAGTCTCACGCTTGTTCTGTCTCTTGCAGTTTTAGTTTTTGTCTCATTAATTTCGATACTCTATTGTTAGATGCATATACATTAAGGATTGTTACGGCTTCTTTAAGAATTGACCCCTTTATCATTACGTAATGGCCTTCTTTTTTCCTGATAATTTTCCTTGCACTGATACCTGTTCTATATAAAATTCGCATCTCTTATGCTTTTTTTTTGATAAGTTTTAGCATGGTATACCTTTCTCCATCTTTTAATTTTTAATCTATATGCATCTTTATATTTAAAGTGGGTTTCTCATGGACAGCATATAGTCAGGTCTTGTTTTTTGATCACTCTGACAATCACTTTTGTGCCTTTTAGTATGCCTTGTAATTTTTTTCTTGATAGCCGGACATGATTTACTGGTTAAAGGGAACTGCTGTAAATAGGCCATTAGTAAGACATTGGTAAGCTGTGGGGGAAGGTGAATCCTGTGATTAAGTCTCATTTTTTTGATGAGCCTGTGTTTCTGAACTGTGAATTTCACAAGTGTTTCTCAGTTTTCTTCACCCTCCTTCTTAGGTGCCACAAGAGGGTAGAGTGGATATTTCCCTTCCCTCTGTGGGTTATTCCCTGACAAAGTTCCAATAGCTTAGGTTCTGATAACATAGTTTCTCTTGAGGGCAGACCTTGGAAAGAACAACATGTTTTGGCATATTTCAAAATGGTTCCTTTTCCTTCCCCTCTGTCAGAAGCAAGAGAAGGTTTTTCACCGATACTCACTGTAAGAATCTGTTGAACTCCTGGAAGTAAAACTCACAAAAACATAGGGACCCCTATGACTGGCACCCCTAGAATTTTTAACTCTTTAAAATTGTCCATGCTGAGCACTTGTCAATTACAGTTTAGGTTACTCAAGGCGTTCCTCTTTTGAATTTCTGCTCCAGTAAGTTGTGATTTTCTGTGTTTGCCTCTCTATCTCTCCAATTTGGTGGCAACAAAACTGCCTTGTGACCTTACTTCTCTGATGGAGCTTAAAAAAATTATTTACTTTTTAGTTTGTTATATTTTTACTTGTTAGAATGGAATGACAACTTCCAAGCTCTTCACATGCCAGACTGGAAGTCAGCCAGAAGTCTTGATGGACTTTTCTGAGACATCTTTATTAGAGTATATAATACCTCAATAGGTACCATAACATTTGCATATCATAAAATTCACCCATTGTAAGTATACACGTCAATAATTTTTAGTAAATTTAGGGAATTGTGCAATAATCCACAGTCTCCACAATAAATTTAGAACATTTTCATCATCCCAGAAAGTCCCCTTGTGCCCATTTGGGATCCTGGCTTCTACCACCAATCCTAGGCAACCACTGATGTACCTTCTATCTCTATAAATGTGCCTTTTTTGGGCTATTACATACAAATGGAATCATACAATATGCATTCTTTTTGTCTCGCTTCTGTTACTTAGCTTAATGTTTTTGACATTTATTCATGTTGTAGCATACATCTCAATGCATTTTTAAAACCCCAAGTTAAGATACAACTGTTTTCTAGTTATTAATACATATTTAACCAGACTGAAAATAAGACAGTATTCAAATTCACTTTTCTATGAGAATGCCAACTTGTATATTACACATGAAACACGATGACTGGCCTACAGAACATACTCACAAGCTCTTGGTTAACCAACTGACCTGTAAGAATGATTTTAAAATTATGAAGTTTTATCAACAGAACTCTATTTTGAAATATGTTATAGATACATTTGTATTGTTTAATTTCAGTAGATGATAGAAATAAACAACAAATAAAATTTACATAAATGACTTCAGTTTCTTCCTGAGGAATCTAATTAACCTTCCCAAACAAACAGAATAGTTAAGGTCTGATTTTTCTTAAAACCAGTGTGAAAGTTTCAAAGCTGTCACAGTTTTATCATTGCGAAAAGTCTGAAATTCACAGACTACTCATGTATATAAATTACTGTACTTACAAATTATCCT